TGCAATTGGGTACATGCTTAAGAACTCCATCTTTGCTACTATCCTGCCCAAGTGGACCCGGGATGTGCTGCCTTTCTGGAACCGCTATCTGCAGGGCTGGGACACAATCTTTGCCTTTGGTATGTCAAGAGTGGGGACAACTCTGGAATTACCGGTCAATCATCCCTCACTTTCTCTCTTGAGAGTGAGAAGATTCGTAATCTAAGCTTCCTCAAGTGCCTGTGGCAGTAGGCCAAGAAGTCAAAGGTGAGTGGTAGATATCTGGCCCACATGGTAAATGCTGTCAGGAACAGTCCCAGGATTGTGTCCGCATGGTAACAGTAGGTCAAAGGTGAGTGGTAGATACCCAGTCTGTGTGGAGGATGCAGGAATGATCAGGCCAGACATGTGTTCCCATGGTAACAGATGCTATTTAATTACTCCAGGGAAAAAGCTGATTGATCAGAAGATGCTGGAGGTTGAGAAGTCTCTGGAGAAGGGTGAGGTTGTCTCAGGCTACCTAACTTACCTACTGTCCAGTGGGCGGATTAGCCATGAAGAGATATATGGCAGCATAGCTGAGCTACTCCTGGCTGGCGTAGACACGGTAGGACATTGACTTCTTAGCCTTCCTTACTTGGGTGCCCACCCCAAAATGTAATGACCAAAAACGCAGCTTACAAGCAATATCACTCTACATAAATACAGTGGTGCCCCACAAGACGAATGCCTCGCAAGACGAAAAACTCGCTAGACGAAAGGGTTTTCCGTTTTTTGAGTCGTTCCGTAAGACAAATTTCCCTATGGGCTTGCTTTGCAAGACGAAACGTCTTGCGAGTTCTTGCGAGTTTGTTTCCTTTTTCTTTAAGCCGCTAAGCCGTTAATAGCCGCTAAGCCGCTAATAGCCGTGCTTCGCAAGACGGAAAAACCGCAAGACGAAGAGACTCGCGGAACGGATTAATTTCGTCTTGCGAGGCACCACTGTAAAACAAACCATCAGGAGCCAACCCACAGAGCAGTTGGTGTTAGGTGGCTCTTGGGTGGGGGGTGGAGGACCATGATGTCTCCTTGCCCTGCATCCCTCAATACACATTTTAAACAAAAAATTATGGGAAATGTAAAAATATAGCAAACTGCTGTGTTCCTTCATGATAAGCTTTTGGAAGAGATTTGACTGCCACAGGCTAGTCACTGTCTGCTTCTTTGGGATGGTCACATATACAAGTTCATTCCAAGACTTTCTCCTTCCTTTGCTGCCTGAATGTAGCATCTTCACCGCTTTGCTTTGCGCTTTCAGACATCAAATACCCTTTCATGGGCCATGTATCACCTGGCCAGAGACATGGAGGTCCAGGAAGCCTTATACCAGGAGTTGATCAGTGTGGTACCCGAAGATCAGATCCCTGAGGCCAAGGACCTTACCAGGATGCCGCTGCTTAAGGCAGTGATCAAGGAGACTCTTAGGTAAGGGGCCTTTCTCATTGTTCCAAGGAGCAAGATCACAGGCCTGGACTTTGCGGCTCCCGGGGCTTCATCTTGCCCAGAGTGGTTCCACCCATTTCCCATTTATGCTTCTGTAGCTTCTGAAGAGCCTTCCTTTCTTCTGATGCACAGTGACAGCCCTCCCTCCACTACTGTCCTTATAGGCTTTACCCTGTGGTCCCCACCAATGCCCGAATCATCGCAGAAGACGATGTTGTTGTTGGAGGATACAAGTTTCCAAGGGATGTGAGTAGTAATGTATTCCTGATGTTGCAACTCGAGGCATTTGTTAGTGGCCAGAAGTGGATGTGGAATAAAAGGGATGGGGCTGTCACTGAATTTTGACATATAGGCAGTTCATGAAGGGAAAAAACAACAGTGGGAGAATGCAAGGAATTAGGTGAAGGCTGTATGTACATATGTCAGAATGGGCTAGCATTGGTTAAGCTGCCCTGATGGGAAATGGTAAACTGCATGGCAAGAATATTACTTTGCCACCAGCCCTCATGTTGCTATGGGGAATCGACTGTCGGAGAGCAAAATCTTTGTCATTTGCTAACTCTCTGTGCTTCCCACTGGCCCCTCCAGACCCTCTTTGTTTTGGCCCATTACGCTCTCTCGCATGATGAGTCCAGCTTCCCGGAGCCAGAGCACTTCCTGCCACGTCGCTGGCTGCGAGATCAGAGGGACTTGCCTCCCCACCCCTTCAGCTCCATCCCCTTTGGCTATGGGGTACGTGCCTGTCTGGGGCGCCGCATCGCTGAGCTCGAGATGCATTTGGCTCTTGCCAGGGTGAGTTACTTCTGTGGGGGCAGAGGGGGTGTCCTTTGGGAAGAAGGGAGGAAAATGAATACAGTATAATAAACAAACAAGAAACAGGGCAATTCTATGGCCCAAGAGGTCATCACAGCTGTAGGCATATTTGATTACTTGTGTTTGGTGGGTGGGAATGAAGCTTTGCCCCCAAATAAGTCAAGCTTTTCTCTTTCCAGCTTATCCGGATATTCTTAATCAGACCAGGTCCACGGTGTACAGAGGTGAAGCCCCTCTCTCGGATTGTGCTTGTTCCTGACAGGCCCATTGACCTGGAGCTTCTTGACAGACGGACAAAGCTTTAAGGCAGTGGGGGGGGGTCACAAGCCCACGGACTGCATCAAGCCCTCCAAGACTATTTGCAGTGGTCCATCTGCCCCACCTTCCTCCCCGTTGCAATGCTGGGCTGAAGAGGAGAGGTTCAAAGCTCTCCACCAAACCCCGGATGTCTCGTTTCTCTTCTGTCTGTATGCAAGTGAGAGTGTGTGCTGTGTACTGAGTTTGTATACATGTGGGGTGAGTCTGTGTTTGGTGGCCATTTTGGCACTGATGGCTGCTAGAACGTGGCCCACAAAGGGTTGGCCAACTCTGAATGTAGCCCTCAAACCAAAACACTGGGTTGCCCATGCTTTAAGCAAACCTTGATCACCACTCCTGAACTTCGTCTGGATAGACTGTGAAGACTAAGCACTTAACATCAACCTTGTTTGTGCCTTGGCTGATCATCTGGTGGATCTCCCTGTACCCAAATCACCTCTGATACCATTTACTGGTATCAGATTGCTCTGCAATCTTCTCCTGTGAATCCTTGCAAAGCTTTGCACCGCATTCTGTGCCTGATTGATTCTTGCGGTGGATCTGAGGAGTGGAGGGTGGGGTAGGAGTAGTTACTGTTAGCCAGTGTCCCTCAGAACTGGCTGACTGATTGCATCGACTTTTCTCTTCCCTGGGTTCCCAATACTCAGGTGTTTAAGAATGAAATTGTCACAGCTTGGTGGTGGCTATTAAAATCCTTGCTTCTACCCTACAACATGCAATCTTCTTTTTTTGATGGAGCTATCGTTCCTGGTGTGTTTGTGCACGCACTCAGCAGTCTTTGGTCTGAAAAAGGTTTTCCACCCATGTGCCACAATATATTTCTTATTTTTTTAAAAAACTTAATCCCACTTAATTTTCAAACTAATTCCAGCCATATCAAAATGTAATAGTTAAGTATTTCACATAATCCTGGAATGGCCCCTATTATTGTAAGTGGGATCTGGGTTTAAACCCTGTACACAATGTTCATGGGCATAGCCAGGATTCATGTTGGGGGTGGGCAGGCTTCATGTTAGGGGGGCAGAACCTCAGTTAGGTATTTCTATTGATTTAGGGGGGCAGGCAGCTGCACCCATGACAATGTTCTCAGACCCAGATGGCTGCCAGGCCTCTCACTTTCTGCTTTCGAGAGTGTGGCATTGCTAGCTGAGCACTGCTAGTCTGGATGAAGCACCCTGCTCCCCCAACCCAGTGTTTGCCACTCACAGCACTTTCCTCCTTTGGACTTGGCCTACCCTTATTAGGATAGCTCTGCAGCTGAAAAGGTGGCTGGAGGAAAGTTGGCAGGCGCTGAGCGGCATCTGGTCCAGAATAAATCATCCTTAAAGGATGGGAGTGAAACTGTTTGGTATTGCCCAAATAGGGGTGGAATAGAACTAGGTAATGAAAGTGCAGGTGGCTGAGACCTTTGGGAGAGAGAAACCATGTTTATATCGTCGTCATCATCACCACCATCATCATCTCCTACCCTTTTCTCCAAGGAGCTCAATATATGATGTACCTACTTCTCCCCATCCTTATTTAATCCCCACAACCATGTGAGGTTAGGTTAAGAGGCAGCGACTTACCTTGCTAGAATACTCAAGAGTCAAGATGGGCAAACTGGAGTGCTGGGGTTTAAAGGCAAGCATAGCTATAGTGGGCATGATGGAAGCCTAGTGGAATGGAGAGAGTACCAGAGGGACCCAGTTATCGCTGGATAGGAATGCTAAAGGAAGGACAGGGAAGGATGTGCTGAAGGTGCTGTGCCTCTGAACGTCGAAGGAAGTCCAACAAACCAGAAATCCCAGAAAGTGGCAGGCCCCCCTGCAGAATCGCAGTGGGTAGTGATTCCAGGACCCCTGACCCAATCACACCCCTGAACAAAATGCCCAGGTGCGCTGGAGATGGGAAAATGAAATCAAGGAGCCTAGCACCACCTTAAAAGAAGTAAAGCCAAAGTTTCAGGGGCTGCAGGCCCCTTCCTCAGAAGCACGGCGTGATGTCTTGAGTGGCCGGGGAATGTGCACGTGGTTGGGGGCGGACGGGCATTGCCTGCAGGGAGCAGATGCCGAAAGTGCAGATGGATGGACAGCGGCCCCTCGCGAGGCGGAACGCCGTTGGTAATGCGAGCATCTTGGGCTTAAAGGTATAGGCGAAAAGGTGGCGCCCACCTGCTCCGGAATGGAGCCTCCCCCGACTTCAGGAAGGTCGCGGAAGCTTCGTGGCCCAACTGTTCCAAGCCGGGGGGGGGAGGTACCGGAGGAGATGGGGTTCCGCACGTGCTCTTTCAGCCCCCTGGAGACGCGCTCCCTCTTCTTAAAATGGTGCAGAAATCTCCACCTAGAGAAACTCTCCTACGCCACGACTGCCTTTGGAGCGATGGGCTTGGGATGCTTTGCCGCTCAGGTCTGGGCGGCAGCGTAGGGAAACCCCCTCACCTGTTAAAGAGCCAGTGTACCCACATCTTTGCTAAGGACGAGGCCTAGCCACCCGCAGCCAGAGGGGGCTGAGAAGGCGCAACAACTTTGGAGGGGCCGCTGGTAGCTGAGCAGAAAAGAAAGGCTTTCCCTCGACTGAGAGCGGAGGGGGGTTTGCTGCCGAGATCCCCGTCCCTCCTTAAAAAGAGGCCGAATTGGCTCCCGGCTTTAATCCCGGCGATGGGTGGCGCTTTCTAAGTAGGCGGGTTGCTTAAAACACGCCGCGGCTCACCCAGCGGTTCTTCGATGGCGGAGGATGCTTTGTGTGGGTGGCTGCAGTAATATGGCTTGTTACCTCAGGTGCTGATTCATTGATGCTCTTAATTTGTTCGGTGAGCAGTCAATGCGTTTCCATATTCGCCTGACTGGAGTCTCTATACCCTAGTAACATGTAAGTGGGATAGAAGACGTTCTCCTTCCCCGCCCCACCCCCGAGCCTTTGCTGAGGATGTTTTCTTAGAAAAAGAAAATGTAAAGTGGTTCCTAGGCCTCCTCTTCAAGGCATATCAGGCCTCATTTCTGGAAGCTGCTCTAAAAGTGCAGGGGTTGGGTGGAAGTGAAATAGCAAAGACTCTCTCTGTACATGCTCAGGAGAAGCTTCTTCTTTGTTAGTGTTTCGCATACACTAAAGGTGTTGGGCCCCTACGGGGCTGGGGCCTACACATACTTGGGCATTGCTTGTTCTTCACTTAACTGTTTTTTTGAAGCCCAGAGTGCCTTTGCTTCCCTCTTGACCCTTGTATCTTTAGCAGGATGAATCGCCTGTACCCGCAGCTGATGCACCACATGGACCAGCTCTTGAGCCTCATAGAGTTCAACAGCAGCATCGAACTAGGTGGGTTGGCCAAGGTTCTCCTTCCTTTGCCTTTGACAAATCTAAACATATTGCTAATGGAGCTTGACTTGCATTAAGCAATGCACACAATGCCTTGGGGGCTGCAGCCTGACACCCCCCCTCCATGAATCTTCACTGATTTTTGAGACGATATTCAATTGTAAAATACAAATTTTATCTGAAGTGCAGAAAACTTGCAAACTGCATTCTCACCCATTGCCCAGTTAAGAAGTAAGTGTTAACAGAACAACCTTTTGTTGTTCTGCCCAGTCAATGCAGAGAGACTGGGCTTGGCTGACAAGTATGTAGCTGTTCATTATTTGGATGTTAATGGCATTACAGTACTAAGCTAGCTGATATATTTAGATTGCTTGTAATTATGTTGTTACTGAACTGAATAAAAGCACCCCCCTGCTGCTCATTCTTGGGCTCACATTGCCATGACAACAGTTCCCACTTCCTTTGATTTGTGGCCTGGCTTTGTTTTGTGTTTGTGAGCATTTCTTGGTGTTGTCGGTTTTGTGTTACAAAAATAGTTTGTGTGTCCATCCTGGCACTTAGCCGTGCATGGAAACAGGTTCCAGGGTTGTCTTTCTTTATATCCTGCTAGAGGGGGTGGACAATCTCAGGCCCAGAGGCAAAATGCAGCCCTCCAGGTCCCTCTGTCTTGCCCTCAGGACTGTTCCTGGGCTGAACTAACTATCACCACACTCAAGTGCTTTTGCCTGCCTGGCATATGCCCTTGAACTCTGACCATGTCCCTTATTTGCCTCTGACTTCTCCCGTAGAAAGGCTGGTGACCACACCTGTTCCTCTATCTTCTTATGCCTCTGACCTTGCCCACCACTAACATGCAGCCCTCAGAAGGGTACCTATGAGGGAATGTGGCCCTTTTGCTGAAAAATTCTCCCCTCTGCTGCCCTACTAGGGTCCTTTGCTATCCAGTGTCAATGTAGTGCTTGAAATTAAGGTCAGCGTTAGGGGTTGGCGTCATCAGGTGACTAAGGGTCCTGGTGTCAGCCTCTAGAGCCCTCTTCTTCTCCTTGCTTCCTGTTTACCTGTCCCATCCAGACCCAGTCTACCCATGAGGTGGGATGAAGCTTATACCTCAGCTGGTGGAAGCACCTGAGGCAGCATCCCCGTGGGTGCCCCACCCACCCGACCTGCCACTTCCATCACGAGCAAGAAGCAGTGCCAGCCTTGGCTCCGCAGGTGGCACAGTGGTGGAAGCAGGACAGGGTTGCGCCTCCAGTTTTGCCTCCAGTGGCAAAATGGGACATGCAGGCCCTGATCCCATCAAATGAAGCAACCGATGACAGGGAGGAGGAGCAATATTTCTGCTTGGCTTGCCCTGCCCACTTCTTCTGGGTGGCTCTTTAGTTTGGGCTTAAAGGGCAAGTAAATGGGCAGAGGTGGCAGCAACAAAATGGAGGTGGACGTGTTATCCAGGCACTATCACCACCAGACATCTGAAGTTGATGCTGATTCTGAGCAGGACAAAAACAGGGTGGCAAGATTCTGGATGACTATATGGGTTTTCTCAGTTAGTGTCATCACATAATTGGGCTCAGATCATAAGAGTTCTTTGGGATTCTCCAATCCAATTCATTGTCTAGTCCAAGAGGGGGGTAATTTCAACCCTTTTTTTGTATTTGCTTGTGTTATTTGCTTAAATGGCTCCGCTGCTTTCTTAAAAACTCCACTTCCCATTAGCTCCAGCTAGCATTGGCAATGGTCAGGAATGATGGGAGTTGTAGTTCAATAGCATCTGGAGGGCCATGGTTTCATAATCACTGCCTTAAGATAGCCCTTTTGTGGTCATTGTAACATGCCACAAAATGGAGCAGGAAGTCAAAGGTACTAGGGTGGGTCGTATGAGAAAAACCAGTGTTGGCAGTTCTGAAGGAGCTGAGATTTCAGGAATATAACTGTATCACCTCTAAGCATCAGCATTGGCAGGGGTTTTTCTTTGATAACAACATGGTTGTTGTTGTTTTGTAAACCACTAAGAGATTTTCACAATCAAGCAGCGTATAAAGTGTGTTAAATAAAATGGCACCCCCATATTTTGTAGCCACTGCCTTCAGCTGTTCTTGAGCTCTTCTAGGATCTCATTTACTATGAATGTATTGCCAAAGATGTTGTTTTTATTCCAAGCCAATTTTATGCCAATTATTGACAACGTAAGATTTTTTTAAAAGAATGGCAGAAAGCATTGTCTAAATTTATCTGGCAACGGAAAACCCCCAGAATTAAATATAAAATATTAACAGATACAAAAGAAAGAGGGGGGTTTTCCCTGCAAGACTTGAAGATATATTTTGAAGCTGCAGCTTTCTGCTGGATCAAGGAATGGATTCAACTAGATAATGCTGATGTGTTGGATTTGGAAGGATTCGACAATGTATTTAGTTGGCACGCATATTTATGGTATGACAAGATAACGGCCCACAAAGGTTTTAAAAATCATGTAATCAGGAAATCTCTTTATAATGGGTGGATAAGATATAAAGATCTCTTAGAAAGGAAAACACCCAGGTGTCTTTCACCAATGAAAGCAAAGGCCCAGAAAAAGTTAAATATGGAGAGTAAATGGCTGAAATATGCTGATTTATTGTTGGAAGATAATGAAGGATTTAAATTAAGACAATTTGACCAAATTAAGGATAAATTGGATGGTTGGCTACAATATTATCAGATTAATGAACTGTATAAGCTTGATTAGAAAAATGGTTTTGCAACAGAAAAATCCAAATTGGAAACAGAGTTGTTAGATACCAATGTTAAAAATCTCTCTAAAATGTATAATTTATTGTTGGAATGGCATACAAAGGATGAACAAGTTAAATCTGTGATGATTGATTGGGCAAGAGATGTTGGACACAATATAATGTTGGAAGATTGGGAAAGGCTTTGGAAGAAAGGCGTTAAGTTTACTGCATGTACTGTTCTAAAACAGTGAAATTAGCAAAGATGTGTCATACAAATGATAACCAATGTTGGAAATGCAAGGAAAAAGAAGGAATTTTTTATCATATGTGGTGGACATGTCCTAAGGCGAAAGACTTCTGGGGAAAAATTTATAATGAATTGAAAAAAATGTTGAAAAATACATTTATTAAGAAACTAGAAGCCTTTCTACTTGGAATAATAGAATTGGAACTGCCCAAAAAAGATTTTAGACTGTTTTTGTATGCCACCACAGCGGCAAGACTTTTATTGGCCAAAAATTGGAAATCGCAAGAAATACCAACAATAGATGAATGGCATATGAAGATGTTGGACTTTTTGGAGCTGGCCAACCTGACTGGAAGAATCCGGGACCAGAAACAAGAGGAGACACAAGAAGATTGGAAGAAATTTAAAGAATATCTAGCTAAATATTGTAATATAAGATAATTAGAAGTCACTTGGAAGTAACAAATAGGCTTAGGACTAGAATAAGTACGTACGGCTCCCAGTACGTTTCCGAGCACAATTCAAAGTGTTGGTGCTGACCTTTAAAGCCCTAAACAGCCTCAGTCCAGTATATCTGAAGGAGCGTCTCCACCCCCATCATTCTACCCGGACACTGAGGTCCAGCACCAAGGGCCTTCTGGCGGTTCCTTCACTGCGAGAAGCCAAGTTACAGGGAACCAGCCAGAGGGCCTTCTCGGTAGTGCCGCCCTCCCTGTGGAACGCCCTCCCACCAGATGTCAAAGAGAACAACAACTACCAGACTTTTAGAAGACATCTGAAGCTTTTGATGTTTGATGTATTATAGTATTTTAATATCTTTTTTGGAAGCCGCCCAGAGTGGCTGGGGAAGCCCAGCCAGATGGGCGGGGTATAAATAAATTATTATTATTATTATTATTATTATTATTATTATTATTATGTGTTGTAAAACATTAAGGATTAGAATACTAATAAAAGAGAAGAGGATAGTAAATGGAAGGAGTTAATTTTAATAGAAATATGACTTTGGAGAACTGTTACAAGGTGATACAATGAAATTCAGTTCGGGGGATTCAAGGAAGGTCAGCTAACAATGTAAGGTAAATTGGATCTTGGAAGAAATAATTGTTTTTATGTTTTTCTTTTGTATTGTAATGTGTTTTCTTTTGTTCTGTGTTTTGTAATGTTATTTCTTTTTATAAATTTGGGAAAGTAAAAAAATTTTTTTGAAAAAAATAATAATAGACTCATTTACTTAGAAAGAGTCCACTCCACACAGTTAGTTCTCTTTTCATTGCTGTTGCTTCATGGAGAACCTTTGTGGACGTCACAATGCTTGTTTCTGCCCTCTCTAGACTGCCTCCAGATTGCCAAATGTCTCGAGGGGATGCGCCAGCGATGCTGCCGCCTGGATTGCGACTTGCAGGGAGCAAGGGAGAAGCTGCGCCGGTCGGAGTACGAATGTTCGGTCCTGGAAGTGAAGTTGAAACACGCCCGCAACCAAGTGGAGGTGGAGATGAAGAAAAGGCATCGGGCAGAAGCTGAGCTGGAAAAGCAGGTTCTTGGAGGGGCACGGTGGAGAAAAGTAGATGGGGGGAGTTTTTCTCCCCTTCTCATGTTAGAATCTGAGGCCATTAAGGACAGACCATAAGGAAGCTGCCTTGTACTGAGTTCAGGGTTTTGGTCCATCTAGCTTGGTATTTGTCTACATTGACTGGAAGCATCTTCTTTCCAGGGGCCAGGAAGCAATGACAGCCCTACCTGGAGATGCCAAGGATTGGACCTATCTGCATACAAAGCAGATGCTTTACCGCTGAGCTATAGCACTTCCCTACGTAGTTCTTCACAAGCTCCTAATTAAGGTGTAGCAAATGTAGCGACAGCCACCAGTTTATATGGGTTTTAAAGATAAAATCATCATGTATAAGGCTATCAATTGCTGTCTGTCATGGTTACTCTGTACTGCTTCCAGGATCTGTGGTAGCAGGCTTCTGCATACCAATTGGTGGGAGAACAAATAGCAAGAGGGGGCTATCCCATCCAGAGGCCTAGGCACCCTCTGAGAAACAGGATACAGGACCTTTGGTCTGATCAACAAGACTATTTAACTTGAAGCACCTGTATCCCACTCTTCATTGCCAAAAAGCACTTCCAGGGTGGGTAACAGTGAAAAGCAAAATTCATACACAGAAAAGCAACAGCAGAAAACAAGAGCAAATAAGATTCCAACCAAATAATGATGCCCGTCTTATTATGTTCTTAGGGTGATAAAGCCTAGTAGGTGAATGGTTTGTGTTGTGTCAGAGTGATGCATGCTGGGAAGAATAATATCTAAACCTGGAGTGGGGAGGTGCTGCCACAGAACTTGGGAACTAAAGAGATATGGCTGGAGCAAGAAGGAAGTTTTAAGCACAACCCAAATAGAAGCTAGTGTGTGGCACGATAGATGGACAAGAGACTGCTGCACCATAACAACTACAGCTGTGCTGTTTCAGGTCTCATAAAAGCTGCCAGGAGCTGATGTGACTCAGTAGCTTAGACACTGAGCTATGCAGCAAGCAAGTGAAAATTCCCTGTTCTCTTGAAATTAAGACTTCAGAATTTTGGACTTTGGGAGCACAGAACCTGGATGTATTTAGTGCATAGTCAGTTGCAGTCCTGGACATGCATCCCAGGCAAAAACAGTTCACTTGCATTAGGTTGGCTTGGGAGAACTAGGTGCTCCCCACCCTAAGGAGGGATGTACCAGTCTGAACATGGTTACAGCTGCAAAGCGGATGCACTTGAAGACCGCTACATTCTTCGTTCCAACAGGGTCTCCATTGTTCTACTCACCCCTCACCCCTTTTCATCCCTCTCAGGAGCGCAAGCTGCAGCTTATCTATGACTACCTGATGGCTGATTCACAAATCAGTCCTTTCAGTGAGGACCAGCGCTCAGCCCTGGCGGCTTTAGAAAGGCCATGTTTCAGCCACAGCACCCTGCTGCCTGGCAAGTGGTGAGTGGCAAGGGAGTACTTAAGACAGATGATATTGCAGCTTCTCTCAGGCAAGCAAATCAATCCCTGTCTGGATATTTTTGTTTTTAAAAATGGACATATGTAAATCTCTGCTTTCACACATTCCACAAAGCATACAATAAATGAAATTCAATCAAACAGTTGTATATACATCATACAGCCCAAATACACAGCATATCAGTTTTACCTCTCAGCTTAGTTGACTAATTCCTGCTGTTTAGCTTTACTAGTTCCAATAATGGGTAGAGTCAAATTATTACTATTTGCAGAAAGTTTCTGGTGATTCAGATGTGCAGGTAGTTGTTACCATAAGCACAATCATTCCATTTTCTCTTTCTTTCTTTCTTTCTTTCTTTCTTTCTTTCTTTCTTTCTTTCTCTCTCACACACACACATACACATGTGATTTGGGGCAAAAGGCTTTCAAATTAAATACTGGTGTGAATATCCACATTGAGAACAGGGGTGCCAACTTGAATAAATATGGGGGGCCCCAAGTAGGCCCCACCCTGCATGATTCATCACATGACACAGTGCATACACACCATTTGCATGGCAATGCCCATGAGCTATTTTATTGGGGGTGCAAAGACCCTTTGGCCCTAGGAGTTGGCTCCTATGATTGAGAAGTCCAGTGGTACCTCAGGTTACGTACTTAATTCGTTCCAGAGGTCCGTACTTAACCTGAAACTGTTCTTAACCTGAAGCACCACTTTAGCTAATGGGGCCTCCTGCTGCTGCTGCGCCGCCGGAGCACGATTTCTGTCCTCATCCTGAAGCAAAGTTCTTAACCTGAGGTACTATTTCTGGGTTAGCGGAGTGTGTAACCTGAAGCGTATGTAACCCGAGGTACCACTGTAGTATAAAAAAAACCAAGTGCCAATTCTACAGGTCTGAAGGGGCCCCTTGAAATGCATACTGAAAATAACAATCATTATAGGCGACTAGTTCATATGCAAACCCACAATGCCAGAACAACACAGCAAGTGTAATTACAACTTGTCATGGCTTTGGGCTAGAATGATAAACTTACAATAAACTTGATTAAATAGCAATGAACAATAAACTTGATTAAATAGCAGTAATGTTTCTTTGGCCACCCCTGTCTCACCTTCATCATGGTGTCCTTGCAAAGAAAGGGACTGAATGAAAAGAAAATGTAGCTTTCCCACAATGGTACCCCCACATTTAAATATTTTTTTTTAAATGATGGGTGTTTGGAGAAGATACTGGATTAGAAGAACTGAGCTATATAGCAAGAGTGGGAGAGACAGGCATGATATGAGGCTGTTATTTGTGATACAGCCCCTGTGTTACTCTTCTCAGTAGGCCGTCTGCAGTGGAAGGACTTGGCACCTCAATCATATCTGACATCAGCTTTGATCACTCGGATGACGAAGTGGTAAGTAAGCATCCCTTCCTCCCAGGCTTGCCAGGTCAGAACTGAAAGCTCCAGGGCACAGTCAGACTCTTATGGTTACGTTGTCGGAGATCTCTGCGCTCTACAGGAGCAGAAGCCAAGACTTCACACTTGAAATTGATGGTGCCACACGTACTACTGCAACAGGCCCTGCATGTTGGTGTATGTTTTCAGAGATACACATCAATATGAACAGAGGCAATATACGTGGAAAGGGGTTGGTTTGAAACAAAGTACCATATTTTTCCGTGTATTAGACAAGGGTTTTTTTTCCCCTTAAAAAATCATGTTAAAAATCTTGGCTCGTCTTATACATGGGTAGTGCTGAGGGGGTACGTGCGATTGGCTGCTGCCATGAGTCGGAGTTTCTCAGTGACAATAGGGCGGCTGATTGGTGGTTGTGGCGAGTTTTTTTTTTTGCAATTGGCTGCCGCAGCAGCAATTGGGTATCCCCGGCAATGCATGAGATTGTCAGTGTATGTGCAATTCTGGGCAGTTCCCTGAAAAAAAGAGCTTAACAACTCTTGGCAATCTCCCCCCCATTTTCTTAATTTTGAGTCCCCCAAAATAGGGGGCATTTTATACATGGGAGCATGTTATACACGGTACTCTTTCAGGGGGAATTATGCTTGGTCACCAAAGGGAGAAGATGCATGTGACATATTAAGAGCAACAGTTTGAAAGCACCCTTGTGGCACTTGTATGCCCAAAACGGTAAAAATTTCTGTTCTACGGGGAGAGAACTAGTTATGCAACATTTTAGTAGAATTTGGTTTGAACTAGGGAAAGCCAGCTGTGGGGAGCACCTATTGCGAAGTGCATGGATTGCAGCACCATCATACCCTCCCCCTTCTCCCCAGATTTCCAGAGTAGTCTTGCAACTATTCTAGCAACAACAAGGGAAAGCAAAATAGCTTTGCCATTTTTAAAAAGACTAAACTATGTGAGGAGGAGCAGGACTAAACCAGCCTTTGACCTAAGTGGTGCGTACTTGTGTAAAGCAAGTTGTCAACAGTGGCGTAGCGCGGGGGGTGCAGGGGGGGCCGGCCGCACCGGGCGCAACATCTGGGGTTAGGGCAAATCCACGGGTTAGGGGGCGCAAATCCACGGGTTAGGGGGCGCAAATTACTTGCCTTGCCCCGGGTGCTGACAACCCACGCTACGCCACTGGTTGTCAACACCCTTCATGGGTTCAAACATTTATTTGCTGTTTTGGGGTGAGAAATGGGCACCTTGTTCTAATGAGAGCACAGATTATTTGGAGACCACATGCCATGACAGATGTAATTTAGTTGTAATTTATTTGCGTATTTATTATTGCATTAATACCTCGCTCTTCCTCCCCAGGTCAACAAACAGATACACAACTTTAAAATTAAGCAAAAACATTCTAAAACGGTTAAAAACATATGAGCACAACTTCAGCTCAAAACATTCTAAAAAGCAATTACAGTTCAAAACATTCTTCCATCCAATGGTCGTGGGGTTGTCAGGAACTATTCCTCATCCCCCAAATGCCTGGATAAACAGGGATGTTTACAAATTCCTCTGGAAAGTTAATTATGATGGAGGCAGGCACACCTCCCAATGCAGATTGCAGGCAACTCTGTACTTATTTTATTTATTTAATAAAATTTGTATACTACTTGATGGTAAAAAAACAACACTCAAAATACTTTACATAAAGAATAAAGTAAAAACAATTACAACTTTAAAAAATAAAAAATAAAACCAGCAACAAACTAAAAGCACACCAGCATTCTACTTGACTATAGCCAGAATGCCAGGGTTTAGGGTAGCTTCTTGCAGAAAACAAGAATATGGAACCTTAGTAAGATACATGTGTGTTGTTGATGAATGCAAGTAGACAGATTCTTATAGCCATTAAAACACGTGTGCATACTGTGAATGCTGAAGAGGCTTCTGGGATGTAGATACAATCTGATACAGGTGGCTATCTGCAGAAGCTTTTAAAATGATGCATATGTATGTATGTATGTATGTATGTATGTATGTATGTATACAGACAGTTCAAAACTTGAGATGGGAAGAAGTAGCAAGATGTGCTCAAGCTCAGGGTGGGCCTTCATTTTAAGTAGCCCATGAGCTACAAATGTGTCTACATCCTTTCTCAGGCTTTCCTTTTCTGTTTTCTTCTAGGATTTGGAAGTGATAAAATCCCTCAAAGGCAGAGACAAAGGGGTAAGTGAAGGTGGGGCTGGGAAGCATCCTGTCCTTCAGCTGCCACATATTCCAGAACTGAAGCACCTGTTCTATATTAGTTCTGTGTGCCTGCCTCAAACATCTGTTTCATCAGAGACCACAACTGGACAGGAGGAGATAAATCTTCCTTACCCATATGCGATTCTAATTACGCATTCAAATATTTGAAAACGTCTTTGTCTGTATCCCACCATTTACTTTGCTCTGTCTTGTTGACAGTCTGTAGGGTGGAAAATGGCAAGCAATTTGTGCTGAGCTTCCCTCACCCGGAATTACGTGGATCTGTCTTCCTGTTGCTCTCACACCTGTTTCTCTCCTCCAGTGCTCCTCCCTCGTGCCCCTGATTCAGCCAGTGGCAACAACCAAATCTGCACAAACATCTGTGGCACCTCCGCCTCCGAGTGTAAGTACCTGGCGATGCCCTTGTGCGTATCTCTGTGCGAGGGAAGACCCAGCCTGCAACCTTTGACACCATTGCAAAATCAGCTCTGATAATAAATGGCTCTGATAAAAAGATATTGCAATGTGGTAGATTGCACAGCAGGGTATGTGTTATACGTGGCATGATCAAACAGGGCAATGAAGCTTCAAGTAAAACGGGGTTTCCCTTATGTTCTGCAAGCTCTTAGGGTTAAGATTCCTTTGAACGTGTGGATGTGTGTGAGAGAGAGAATAATCCTGCATCCTTCATTTAAAGGGGTTTGATCAAGACTGCCATTCATCATTCTCTGCCCCTCCCTTCCAATCTTGCCAGGCCAATAAGATGTCTGTGGCGACTCTGAGATCCGGAGCCACTGCCCACGTTTTGCCTCCTATTGCTGTGGTGCCCCGTCGCCGATCCCAGCAGAGCCGTTGCCTGTCCACACGCTCAGGTGCCTCTTCCCTCCTTTTTTGGGTGTGGCCTGGCCTATTCTGAAGGTGGACAAACATGGTTAGGTAATGAGTGTTGACAGAAGGTTTAGCAGTAGAACTAGAGAATATGCTGCAATAAGCTTTTCCGTTTCCAAAATGGAAAATAGGCTGTTCCCAGAATGCTGTAAAGGGAGTTGGGGACAGTGAAGGGACAAAAGATCCTGTTCTGCCTGGGCTCCTCATCGCCATCCCGTTTTCCTTAGTTGTAAGTGGGGATGGGGAATCTACTCAATACATGCTCAGGGTACTTATGCCTTCCTTGGAAGAAAGGGTGTGCAGTCCAAACAGATTAGGAGGCGGTGCTGGTTTAGAGGAGGAGGAGGAGGGGTAGAGCTACAAAACCACGAGCCATGTTATGTGCAAGAGACTGGCAGGCAGACCCTGAATGTGTCCAAATGGTTTAATCGTGATCTCAGATGTGTAGGTTTGGATTCATAGGAGCTAGAATAGCAAGAATGGCTTTATGAGGAGCAGGGAGATATTTGGCTTGTCTCCCCCTCCTTTAAAGATGGGGTCTGGTTTGCAAACTTTTGAGTCCATTCTCCCACCTGTCTGTCCTCTGGACAGTTGACCGCCACCATGCTCCCAAGCCCAGGACCACTGGAGGGGATTGAGCAAGTTGTCTGCCCCACCTTAGCCCAGGTTCCTGGCCAACTCCGTCCACACAGAGCAGTCACACTGAGTTCTTGATTGTGGGCTTCTGCACCCCCAGGGCGTCATACTCCAAATGGGAGCCTGCAGATGGAAGTAGGTAGACCAGTGCTAAGATCCAACAATGACTTCTGGGAGGTGCCAGCTTGAACGCTGGACGAAAGTGTCCATGCCTTTAAATGTGTCTCTGATGTGTGGTCTTCTCTCCACAGACGTCACTTCCTTCTGGGGCAGCAGCGAGGGGTCAGGCAGAAGTAATAGCCAGGCTGAGAGTAACACCATTGGCACGAAGATTAGGACTGACTTGAGGGGTGTCCAGGACCCCTTTTCTCCTTCTCGCACACAGGGAACACCACCCCTCCAAGAGCACCACTTTACTTCCAAGACGGTGAGAAAAGAAGAACAGGGCTGCCTCTCAGCAACGCCCTCAGCTGGAGTGCTTATCTGCTGGGATGCTTTCAAGTGCTCTTAATGATAGGTTGACTGGGTTCTCCTAAGCCAACTGTCTGCATTTGTTTCCAATTTTGTGCAAGTCTCATAACTTCCTGTTAAAATCTTGTAACACTGCATACTACAAAAGTTCTGCTTCTGTCTTGCCCAAGAGTGCTTGCCCTGGTGGCAATCATGCAGTAACATTTTGAAAGCATCTCAGGATAGCTGATAAAGTGGAACAATCTGTGGGTGCTCCAGTACAAACCCACCACTAAGGAACTAAGGATCATGCCAGTAACATGGTGTGGAATATACCTACAAAAAAAGCTCCATGAAGAAGAGATTGGGGTAGGGGGCAGGCAGGGCCAGCACCAGAGCCTGTGCCACTTGGACTCTCCCCTCCCCACCTACCCCTGGGCCAACTATACCTTTTGTATCATTTATTTGATGTTTTAAAACTGTCAACCGCTTTGGCAGAAAGGCAGTGTATAAATGCAATAAATAAATCCAAGAGCTCGATTGGACAAATTCAAGCTAGAGGGCTATTGTACAAAGGGGCAAGCTATGGGAAGCCTGTGGTCTTTTTCCTCTTGATCTCTGCTGTGCTCATCTAATGCTCTTCTCTCTTCCCTGGCTACAAGATAATCAGCCTGGAGTCGTGTGCGGTTTGCAAATCCCGCCTGCGCTTTGGGAAGATGGCCCTGAAATGTCGGCCCTGCCAGCTTGTAGTCCATCCTGAGTGCAAAGAACGCAGCCCATCCATGTGCAGGCCAACTGCCTCCCCCAGAGTGAGAGAGGTGAGGCAGCTTCCCTGGGATGGGAGCTCGTGGGGCTTTTATTTCAGTGCTGGCGGCTTTGCCGGGGGCAAGAGCAATTCGGGTGGCTGGGGTGACTTGTGTGCGGCAGGTGTGGCTGAGCTGTTTCCCCCCAATCCACATTGATGGCTACTAGCTGTGATCAATGGCTACTAGCCACAATGCCTGTGTCCTTCCTCCACTGTCAGACAGTATACCCCCGACTACCGTTGCCTCTTCTAAGGTTCCCCATGTCTTCTCAGGGTATTCTGGCAGATTTTGCACCCTCCACCCCACCTCTGGTGCCCCCACTAGTCATCCAGTGTGTGAATCAAGTGGAAAGGCGTGGCCTGAAGGAGGTAAGTGCATTGGGGGGGCAGCAGTGGGGCTCTGAAAGGCTGGTTGAGCTGCTGTTTTATTATGTTCTGGATCTCTTCTCTCCTCTCTCTCTCTCTCTCATACCAATCAAACCAAATTTCCATTCCACATTATTCTTCTTGTCCTGCTTATTGTTTACTGAATTGCTGTGGTTTTCTTCTTAAGTAGCTACAGCTTCAAAGCTTATAATGGTTTACTCTTAACTGTCATCAACCTGGATTTCCACATCTAATTCTGTCACTGCACAACTTCTGTGATATTTTTCTTTTTGCTCTACTTCCCCTATGCTAGCTGTTGGGATAGAGGTGTTGCATTTAGTTCACTTGCTTTTCCTGACTTATGATCTTCTTTTCCTTTTTCATCTTGGCTGGTTGTATGGTTTTCTAATGCATTTTTAATATTTGTATATTTCTGTTCACTGGCTACTTTTTCTCCCCCAAATTCCTCTCAGCCTCTTTAGGCTCTTCATAATCTTACTTCTGATCTCTGCTGCTGCTGTTCTCCTTATCCATCCCCTTGTTCTTTGCATTCTGCATGCTCTGAGCTTTCTCATTTGACATCCTGTGTTGGTGTTGCCTGCTCTGACCCTCTCCCTAAGCCTGGAACTCGCTGCCTCTGCTACCCTCCTTACCGGTGGTGGGAGATGGGCTTGCATACCCAGTGCCTGTTTTTATCCAGCCACAGGAGTTAATTATATACTTCCAGGCCCAATCCAAGGCCCTGTCTTTCACATTTCAAGTCCTAAAGTATCCATGAGGGTGTGGCATTACACAAAATGGCCGTGACATCTTTAAAAAGCAGAAAGAGGCAAGGCCACAAAATGGTGCCGGCAGATGCTTCTGACTAGTGGTAATGATTCCAGGCCTGAAGTGCCGGCTGGGACTGTACCTTAGTGGCCGTTACAAGCTTTTGTGTGTGCATCTGTTCCTCTTGTCTTTTGCTCCTTGTGATCTGCAGGCTGGGCTATACAGAGTGCCAGGTTCAGAGCACCTCATTCGAGAATGGAAGCGCAAGCTGCTTTGTGCCCGAGGAGCACTTCCCTCACTGGACCAGGTGGCTGATGTCAATGTGATCTGTGGGGTTCTCAAGGACTTTCTGAGGAGCCTGAAGGAACCTCTAATGACCTTTGCCCTGCACCCTGCCTTCCTGCGTGCTTCAGGTGAGTTTGGACAAGGCAGTAGGTGGAAAGTGCCTTTTCTGGAGTGGTAGTAATGAACCCCCCCCCAACCTCATAGCACTATTTTCTTCCCACCCAGAAATTCCAGATGAAGCTGCTCGCCAGACTGCACTCTGCCATGTTGTGATGAAGTTGCCTCTGGCCAATAGGGACACTCTGGCTTTTCTGGTGCTGCATCTCCATAGGTAAGCTGGTGAGGGCAGATTTTAGGCTTGAAGGGGGATACCTGGAATTCTAAAATGTGCAAAACTTTCCCTCAACTTGGTGGAGATTTCTGCCTTGGCAAAAGGTGACACTGCGTGTTCAAGCCATGTATTTTCCTCTGAAACAACATAATACTGTTTCTGCATGTTAGGAGTGCTGTGAATTTGCTCCCCCGTTTGTAAAGGCAGAGGCCTTTGCATTTCATTCCATAAAGGTCTTCCTTTTCTTAATTTTCTTACTCTGTACAAGGGCAAGCAGATAAGTATCTGACAATTGTTCCATCATCAATCCTTGTTGAAAGTGCTGGCTGCACCACTTGCTACTGTGGGTATTTTCCTGTCTTGCACAATAGGTTTGAACACCACTCTTTTCTGTTCATTGATTGGATCCACAGTAACTGTTCAGAAACCTGTTTTGGGACACTTATTTGCTACATCAGATAATGCACTTCTCACTTAAAAGAAACAAACATAATGGATATCTGTTGCATCAAGGGGTGTCAGGAATACATTTTCTGCTAATGAGGGGTTTTGTCTAATCCTGTCCCCTGCAATTTGTCTTGTCTTGTGGGCTTGGTTGCTTCACCCATTGCGTGGCCTGCATGAACCATGGTTTCTGACCCTGCTGTGATGCCCACCATCCATGTTATGGATATAGCTGGGCTTTGTACCTTTGGGTTAGAAAGATTCTGCTTTGGCCTTTGACTCCATGGATCCATCTCTTTGTCCTTAGGGTCATGCAGAGCCCTGAGTGTCGAATGGACCGGCACAACCTAGCACGTATCTTTGGACCGACTCTAGTTGGGCACAGTAATCCTAGCCCTTCCCCACGCATCATCATGGAAGACACACCACGTCAATGCCTGGTAACAGACGCAACCTGTATTTGTTACTTGTGTGCAGTATTTAATTTTTTTTCTGACCCTCTGTGGGACTGCAGGAAAGACTGCACAATGCTCAGACTGTACATCAAGCAAAATCCTGATGCAGTGTGGAACTGAGGATTGATTATTTTTGTTGCACCAGGGTAGCTCTTGTGAACTCAGTGGAATGCTGAGCTTGGAGGAGGAATGCTTCTGCTAATTGTGACAAAGGCAGGAACAAAGTCCTGACTGTGGGAAATCCTGCTTACTTCTGAGACTTTGCCAAGCATTTTAAACAGATTTTTAATATTATATTTTTGTCTTACGGGCTAGAAACTTGCTTTTTTATATTAAAAGGTGGGGGGGAGCTGAGATTCCCAGAAACGCTAATTTTAGCCCACTGCAAAATTCGGCAAGTGAGCCCTTGCTCTGTGCTTTCTTATTCCATAAAATTTCATAAGAGCATAAAAGCTGCAGTGAGAAATTCAAAAGTCATGGTAACAAATGGAGCATAACTGACTGCTGCTTAATCAATGCTCTTGCATCTCAAGTAGTAGAGTTCAGAGAATTATTCTGAATGCTTTGTTTCAAATATTGGCTTGTGAGAGTGTCACCTTTCACTGTTCCCCCAAGCTTGCGTTTTTGCAAGCTCTCATCTCTACCACATTGTCAATAAATTTATGATGACAACTGAATCCATGTGAAAACAATGGGCAGATAGACACCTCTGTGGAACATAAGCAAGAACCAGCTAATGAAGGCCGGGTGGGGCAGATAGGGAAGAATTTCCACGATTAGGCGCCGGATAAAGCTAACATGATTCCATTCCCCTGCAGGTGGTTGCCAATCTCTTAGCACTGCCTCTTTCGTTCTGGAGACATTTTGTGGGAGAAGAGCAGGAAAACCTGGTGCCTTTGGTGCAAAAGCCCAGCGTCATGAATGAGCAAGGTGAACTGAAGTGTGGGTGGCTTGGGGAGGAAGAAATATAAGAGCCCCATCCTTACTCAGTTTTGGTGATCCTCCGAAAGACAGGTTGGTGGTGGGGAGCTGGACCTAATACTTCCCTCTAACCTTCCACCCACAGACCAGGTCTTCTTTCCTCCGACTCCCCCTGAAATCAGCACCATCCAGATGAGCCCAGGAGGTGGCTGTCTCCCTAATAAGCTATGGGACTGCATTGGGACCACCTTCCCACCCTCGTAAGTGAGCTGGCACAGCTGCCTGGGGTGCATTTTGTGGGGTTGCAGGGGAGGGGGACCTGTGAGCTGAATGCAGCCATCAAGGCCTCCTTGTCGGGTCTCCCAGGACTTTCCCCTCACAGATCCTGCTCCACTCCCTGCTTTTGCCTAACTGGAATGTGCTGTTAAACTATGATGGTGCTCTGCTTGCCTGGATGGAGAAGTAGCGAGTGTCTGTTTGGGTGTGTGAGAGAGAACCTCTGGTTTTCGTATGGCTGGAACATAGTCCAAAGATAGTCCATGATAAATCACACCGGCTGCTCTGACCACTTTTGCTTCTGGCCCTGCTCACCACTAGTTTGCCACACCAGGAAGGTTGCCTGTGAGGGAAGGCTTTCTTCTGGCTGAAGAAGATTCCCCAACCCTGCTGCTATTGAGTGCTGCTACTATCCTTGGATAAAGACTGGGTTTGTTTGGGAAGGGTTATCAAACTCTTGTTGCCACAGCTGTCCATATGCCCATGCCCCTGAGGTGTGGAGGCTCCTACATGTTGTGGAGGTTCTCTGACCTTCCTTTCACCTGGCCAGAGGGGCTGCTGCCAAGGGGGCTGCCATAGATGTCCACTCTGGGGTCTCCTGTTTTGTCTTCCTGCCAGGAATGCCTCCCGCACCAAGAAGACGGGCAAATTCTTCCCACTTCCAGTATCATGAAGCAACTCTGGTGCACCAGCGTTGCCTTGGCTTCCTCCCAGCAACCCTCTTCCTTGCCACCTCCAGATTCCAGGCTTGTGTCCTCACATTTCATAGGGAGATGCTATGTGCCTTATCTCTTAATGGTGGCTGACAATCGTTTCTCCAACCTCCATGATCAGGAACAGAGGAGATCTTGCCCCTCCCCTTTCATACTGTTGGGTCTTGCTTTGTGGACTTCTGGTTTGAAAACTCCAGGCATGTTCTTGAGCCATCTGTTTCCTCTGTTATGATGGACTCCGGGGCAGTGAAAACTGGGTTCAGCTTACCTTGTGTGCATACCTTTTGTGCCTTTCCCCCCATGTCCATTACTGGTTGTACTTGAATGGCAGAGTTGTTGTCATGTGGTGGATGGGGAAAGTCATTTCCTGGAGCAGTTCATTGGTATCATTCTGATCAAAAACCAAACATGGCACATTGGGAGGTTTCTCGAGCACTAGAATCCTCATCACCTCAATCACTGATTTTTGCTCTTGATGCTGTCCCTGGTCCTCGTTAGAGCACTTACGTGTTTACAGAGGGCAGCTTCCTCAAAAACTGGAATGGCTAAACAGGAAGTGGTGGTATTTACTAGCACATGAGGTTGGTATTACTATTCCCCCCCCTTCACAGTTTCTGTAACTCCTGTGCCTACTCCATTTGGGGTTTGTGGGGGTGTCAGCTGTGCTGGCGCAGAACCCAATCAATCCCTTCTGCCCAGAATCATCCTAGAAGTAGTACCTCTGACCCAGCTTGGCCACATGTCAGCCCTGAGTGAGGCCATTTACTGTTAACGGGTGTGCCTTAATCACCGATGGAACTTACTTGATGCTGAACTTAAGGAAGCAAGACTTCTTAGCTCTGTACTTTTGCATTACCCTGTATCAATCAGTTATGAAAACGTTGTAAGAGTCTCCTGAGGCTAAAATGTCCACATATCCTTCTGGAGTAAATAGTATCAAAGAAGGATGGGAGATGAAAGACTGTCCAGAGCAATGACTTGGTTTTGTTTCAGTTTTGTCTCTCACACAGTCTATCGCTTCCCTTCTCTCTCTTGAGACTCACTCCTGCCCAATCCCTTCTCTTTCTCTGCTCGTTTCAGCAGTGCTCTAAACTTATGTATTTTGCTGAGGGAATTATGGGTTCTTGCCACCTGAAAGATTCCATGGCTCTTAACAAATTATTTCCCCTTTGTGAACTCCTAACTGAATCCCAGTATGCTGAGTGGAAGGAGCTGTAGCATGAACTTCTTTTCCAATGTGTGAGTCAACCTTACTCCAATGGCTGGGAACTGTGGTTCTAAATGCTCAGTGAGGTCCCTCCAGTGCTGAGTGCCTTAAAGGCATGGTCAACAGCAGGGAATTGGGTGTGGATGAGGATGCTCTCAAAGGGTGTTTTGAATTTCCGGGTCCCCATTAAAATTCCATTGTGGATTTTTCTTTCATAAATATATTTGAAAAGACTTGAACAAGAAGAACCTAATAGCCTAATAATAAAGACACTCTGTTATCAAACTATCATAATAAAAACTATAATATCAGCATGTGACAGTCTTGCTATTTATCATTCAAAGAAGTCCACCCTCTTCCTTTCTCCTACCTTTAAATGTGCCCTTGCTAGTTTCTTTTTTTCTTCCTGGAGCAGCGAGCAGCAAATCTGGTGCCCTTCAGATGTTTTGGACCACAATTACAATCACCGGCCATGCTGGGTGGAGCTGATGACAGTTTTAATCCAAAACATCTGCAGAGCCCCCTATTGGCTGCCCCCTATCCTGGAGATGCATTGCTCCTCCTGTGAAACGTAATAGCATCACCAGCTGGCCACTGAACATGTGGCCTCCAGTGGATAAAATAGCTCTACCTGTCTCAGAGTGGGATATTAGATGGGCGTTGAAAGAAAAGGTGTAACTATCCCCAGGAACTTTACACTTCCCTGGAATATCCAAGTACCTTATGCATACATACAAACAAAGGTAGTCATGCTTGTTTGCATATAGTCTGTGTCTTAATATGAAAGTTTATTTCAAAGAACATGAACACAACAGGAAGAGAAACTGCATGCTTTCCTGTAGTGAGACCCTCCCCACTAAGTCTGCTGGGAAAATGCTACCTATCTCCTAGCAAATCCTTCTGTTGCTGCTAGGGGAACTCAATACAGTGGTACCTCGGGTTACATACGCTTCAGGTTACAGACGCTTCAGGTTACAGACTCCACTAACCCAGAAATAGTACCTCGGGTTAAGAACTTTGCTTCAGGATGAGAAGAGAAATCGCGCCGCCACGGCGCGGCAGCAGCGGGAGGCCCCATTAGCTAAAGTGGTGCTTCAGGTTAAGAACAGTTTCAGGTTAAGAATGGACCTTTGGAACGAATTAAGTACGTAACCAGAGGTACCACTGTAGTCAAAAGCCTTGGTTTTTACTGTAGGCTGAAGAGGAAAGATTGCAAGTTGCTTGTTGTCAGCTATAGGAAAATGGTGGACTGAGCTAGGTTTTTTCTAAAGTTGACAGAAAGTGACCCCATAGTGTTCTGTAATAGTATAAAATACATTTGAAAGCATTTCCATGGATTTCAGAACTCCCCATTCCCTCTTAAATTATTTTTCCTCAGCTTAGGTCACATCAGCCTCACACCTTGTTGCTGGTTCAGGTACAATGAAAAATCACAACAATAAAAATAATGCAATAGCCTGCTAAGTGTTTAGTCCTGTGTTGGAAACAAGCTGCCTTTTCTCCAAAGCAGCAGGGTCTAATGCGGAAATCCTTAATCCCTGTTGAAGTCATGGAGCCAAACCACTGCGATCGTAGTCTACCTTCCTCTTGTGAGTGTCATGGGCCTTCTTGAGTGTCCGTATGTCTGGAGCAGTAGCAGTCACCTCAGTTCAGTCAAAAGCATCTGCTAGAGGCCTTGAAACAGGATGGATTTTTGTGCATGATAACATGTCCTACAGTCAGCAAGGGATAGAAAAAGGAGACAAGCAACAGGTGCAAGTGTTCAACCAGGGCCAGCTTTCTCTCCGTCTGTAGCATGGCTGCTTCTATAACACTCTAGCAGATTTCAGCGGTTGAAAAATCTATTTACAGTTCTGCAGTTCAGATCCTCCTTTCTTATTGCTTCTCTCACCTCTTTCTGCATCATGGAAGGGAGGAGGGAGGAGGAACGCGCAGCCAAAGCACCAATGTTGCCTGTTAAGAAGAAATCTCTCTCTTTTTCATGGGCTGGAAAGCCCCACCTTACCCTCATGTGTCATAGATGCCCTGGAGGTAACCCAAAGTGCTGGGTAGCAAGTGTGGCCTTTAATGGCATCAGATTGAATACCGGTCGATGCCTGTAGAAAGGAATGAAGAAAGTTAATACCATAGTGGGAGAAGGATCCTGCCCTATGCTTCTCCCTCTTTGTTGTCTGATGGGCGTGATTCGGTTGGGAAGCAGCTGTTTCCTTCCATGAACTACATATCCCAGAGGATAAGTCCTGTCCCCCAAGCTGGCCTGCTGGGAAGAATCGCTGCAGTCATAGACACAGGCCAGGCTGTGCCTCCTATAACAAACTCCTGGCCTAGAGAATGTGCAGAAGCCTCATTGGATGCAGAGGCCTCCTCACTAAAAAGAAATCTTCCCAAATGGGGTGATCAGTAAAGTTTCTAAAAGTTCAAAACCTCTTGCTTACAGTTAGAGGCTTTTGATGATCAGAGGCTAGTTGGTGCCTGAAATGCACCTCCTCTTTTCATGCTGCTTTTTATCAGGTTAGCTGGTGGTCTCTCTTCTCCAGCCCAGACCTTACGGTTCTTAGGTAGTCCCGTGGTTGCAATTACCAGGGAGGGGTGTTCTGCTTAAAAGCAGTTGCATTGCTCAAGCTGAGCAAGTTTGGCCCTGAAAGCCATATACAGGGGAAGACTGCCTGAGAACCCTAGGGAAGCTGCTCTGAGCTTTAGTGTTTTAGCCACTGGCGTTACATGCCCAAGCTTATTAAATTTCTTGTGCTCTATCATAAACTAGATAATCAGGACTCAAAACCAGTTGGTTGAGTGGCAATCCTAAAAGTAACTCAGCCAGAGGTTAGGTGCAGATCGAACTTATTTGCAGTTTCTTAGCTGCCTTTCAAGCATTGTACTGGGAGCGGGGGGTTCTGCAGCAAAAAAATGGCTTAGGATTTTGGCTAAGCAGCTCTATCCCACTGATTTATTCTGCAGTGAATTATACTTGAGGCAACTTGCATTTCCTTATATCAGGCCCAGGAAATGTGTGGCCCTCCTAGATGTCCTACTACACCTCCCATCATCCCATACTGTTCCCCATGCTGGCTGAGGGCTGATCTGACTTGGGGAGTCCAACAACATCATGAGGACTGCACAGGTAAGCCACCCCCTCTGTGGCATGGTGGCTGCAGGCGCTGACCAAAGAGATGCTACCCTACACAGACCACGGACAAATCCACCTCAGCTTGCGTACAAACATGTAGGAGCACAGATGCAGCCGTACACACAGCTAGTTGCGGGAAGGTGGCAACACAGTGAACCATGGAGCCAATGGCATCAGGCAAGAACAAGGGAGATCATTCAGACTCAAGCCCAGTGGAACAAGGCAACAAGAAGCCGTAGGTGGTGGCAGCCTGTGTACCTGTGGCCAGAGCCTCTCCTGGGAGCCACATCAGCCAGAATTGTGTGCTTTTGGGGGGAATTGACTGGTAAACACAAGAGGAAATAATAATGAGGTTGCTATAACGACTAAGGAGTAGTCTAGGTTGTACACCAGCCATGCAAGGCATGAGGCTGATCTACCCCACCCACCCACCCACCCTTTATAGCTTAGGTCAAGATGGGAGGAGAAATTTCCTTAGCTCTTTTTTCTAGCTGCTGTGCTCATCCATCACTGAGATGCTCCTATGCAGGTGGAAGCGTGAGACAAAGCTGACGACACCCCCGAAAACTTGTAGATAATGTAATAAAAGTAGCAGAAGCTGGACCCAGCAATAGTAAACTACTATACTGTCCCCTCTCCCCACAATGGTAAGGGTAGCCTTGTTGCAAGGGAGATTGCTGAGCCCTTTAAATTGGAGAGATTAAATATTAATTTAAATAAAATTAACTGGGAATAAAAAGAATGGAAGTAAGAGAAGAAGTGAACGTAAAGGGAACAAAGAGAAGGGATTAAAGAAGCAGGCTGTTTCTGGCAGGGGAAAACAGGATACAAGTTAAATGTGAAAGGAGATGGGGAGAAGAAATGAGAGATGATGAAAAATACAGGTGAGCTTTCAGATAAAGGGGGGGGGGAATTTGGGGGTGGGGGACTGTGGCTGTGTGTGCTTTATCTACTGAACTTCATCTTTTTCCACTTCAACCTTTAAAGGCTAGGCTTGCCAGCTGACCTGACACTCTACCTGCCCCCAAGCTGTAACTGCCTCTGTGCCTTTAGCAACCACAACAGGTAAAGAAATCAGCTGGGGTGACTATAGGGCATGGGAAGTAACATAACCCCCAGCTCATGTTACCCAGTGAACTGGTTGTTACTGAAAAACCACCATTTCCCTGTGATAAAATCTGTGCTAGGGAAATGCTGTGGAAAAGCAGGGTTTTATCATTGCAATTGGAAATGAATCTAACATGCAGCACATCTACTAACACTCTTGCCAAAAGAAATTTACATATATGTGAGACATACACCAGCTTTCCCACTACACAGCTGCTTAGTTTTCTGGATGCAGAGGATTCCTCTAGTGCCGCCCAGTTCTTTAACCAGCTCTTCCCATGCAACAAAACACTTCCAACAATTGGTGTGCCGTGCCAGCACCAAGGGATGTGAAAAAGAGTAAGGAGAAAATCCGAATGGATTAGAGGTGGAATGAGAAGCTGCTGATTTTAAAGGTTTAAGCGCAGCTTTGATGTATCAGGAGGCCTCTCTCTTGCCAGAAGCTGGAACCCTGCCTGTGTGTGTCTGAGTAGCCCCCTTAATAATAATAAATAAATAAATAAATAATGTATTAAATTTGTATACCACCCTTCATTTGAAGATCACAGGGCAGTTCACAACATAAAAACAAATGGAAAATACATAATAAAAACAAACCCATAACCCCCCCTCCCACAAACACATTAAAAAGGACACAGAATGTTAATCAGCCAAAGGCCTGGTTAAACAGAAGCTTTTTCACCTGGTGCCTAGATATATGCAATGAAGATGCCAGGTGAGCCTTCTCAGGGAGTCACTGCAGAAAAGGCCCATTCTTGTATTGCCACCCTGCGGACCTCTCATGAAGAGGTTCCTCCTACAAAGCTATACTGTGTTTACAATCCATAGCATTGGCCTCCCTTCCAGGCTGGGTGTTTGGTTCTAGACAGACAGAAATACAGACCTGGCTTGGCCGGACGGACAAGAGAGACCCAGCAGCAAGGCAAAAACGAGCAGCAGGGCAGAGGCTAGAGAGGCCAAGGCATGGGGCCTACCTGAGCTGGAGAGAAGCGGAGGAAATGGAGGGTACAAATGGAGGAAGGATGGAGCGTCAGGCGGCTTAAGAGTTTAGGGCATCGATACCTGCAGGCGTGAGAACCAGGGCTTGGAGAATGTCAGAGAGGGACACGATCCCCCGCGGGGTTTTCTTCTCATCCACCAGAACCAGACGATGGACCTGCCAGATGAGTGAGCCACACACCATTATGGAGAGAAGAGTAACGGGATGAGCCGAGATGAGGGCTTGACATCCACAGTTACCCCTCCCACCTGAGGCAAACCTCAGAAACGTTTCCCTTTGGTGGCATAATGCTATTATTATTAACATCATCACCATCCTAGTACAGCACGATAGCCGAGGGAGAGGGCATTCTGGGAAAAGTTACAATTAAGAGCGGCAGACAGGAAAGTTAAAGCTGAGTGTTGTTGCGCTGCCTATTAGCCTTTAGTTGCAGAGGAGCAACTGTGCTGTACAGAAAATAAGTCTAGGGCTGCTTCCCACATTATAATTTTTTGAGGTATGTGTGTTTGCATATGGAAACACCTGTTTGCTTCTAGAATGGGGAATCTGTGACTCTCTAGGTGTTTTTGCTGAACTACATTTCCCTTCATCCCTGGCCATTGACCATGCTGGCTGGGGCCCAACACTTTGTGAAAGGCCACAGGTTCCCCATTGGTTCAGTAAATCATTACACGCAACAGATAGATGTTTCCAGGCATATGCATCAGACCTGTATGTGCATCAGGGAGCTGGGACTTGCCATGGCTTCCTGCTGTATGACAGCAAACAGCTGTTTTCTCTCATATAACATGTGAAGCAGACTTTAGGTGTCCAGTTCTCATCAGCATCTGAAGATGGATTCACTTACCTTGGGGACCACCCACCTGAGCAATCTACCTCTTCTGTGCAGGCTCTCGGCTTTCCCCATGGACCCCCTTTTTAAGTGATTCATTGGGAATAGCTTCTACCCTAGAGATGTCCCATGAGAATTATTTTGGGTGTTTTTGTTTTTTGCTTAAATGGTTGGAATACAGTATTCCACAATATTTCCCATCCTTTTCCTAGGGCCTGTAAGCCACTAGTGTGTCTTTTCCATGAGTGTCATGGGGAAGAACAAGCCAGAGATGGTTACTGCTGGAACACCTATGCCAATAGAGCAAAGTCAATTAGGCAACAGGATCAGAGGCTGACTGGTTTAGAAAGTGTCACTGGGCATGACTTGAGTAAGCCGAAAGTAGAGACAGAAGAGGTTTAGGCTGAACATTTAACTCCTGAAGTCAGATTTTATGGACCTGGAGAGGTCAAGGTCTTGCCACAGAGTAACTGTTACCTAAAGCTGCACATTCTTCCTTCTCCACTCTGGCATACCTGCTCCTTGGCGATGCGATCAATAATGTCTTCCATTGTTTCGTAAGGATGGCAGGTGAGCACCCCTTCCAGACAGACTGAGCGCTGCTTCAGTGCTTCCCCCACAGTAATGTCCAGGTTGTTGTAGGACTTCTGGGCAGCCAAGTGCTAAGCAGAGACAAGGAAATGGTTTGAAGCCACCATGACAGATCATCCAGGCAGGGGCTTGGCATTACCAGAGAATAAAGCCACCCCAATCCCACTTTGCAAAGGTGGGAGAACTCCGGCTTTAATATCCAGGTAATTCTTGCTGAAACAAGGCTCAGTTGCTACACACTGGTTTAATGCACCTTGTGACAGCCCCTTTGATAAATGGACCCTAATCCGCCATCAATTTAGAATCACAGCACTGGAGACAATGTTCTCCTTTGCTTTTCACCCTATGTTGCTGACTTCTCTGTCTAGAGCTGAAAAATAGTAGTGAAAATTTGTATCACCACCTCAATCCTTTTAGATAGATGGAGTTCAGGAAACATTTGCAAGGGATACCAAACCACACACACACACACACACACACACATGTTGGGTTGGAATAACGACAGACGAGTAGCGAGCGTCATGTGGGAGGCACCTCTCGAGCAAATCTCGAGGACTCTCTTTTATTGAATATTACATGCATTGCCACACACACACACACACACACTACCAAGTGATCTTCCCATCTTAAAATTTTAAACAGGTTCTGCATCCCCTAGAGGCAAGACAAGGAAACATTCCGTTTTCTTAGCTTTGGCTATTTAAAAAAACCCATCCTCCCGCCAACCAACTTCACACCTGCAAAAATATGATTGTGCTGTACTTACAATCACATCAAAGCGAGAGTAGAGGCCAACTACCCTCCCTGTAAAGAGAAAGTGAGGGAAGCATTATAAGGGACTCAGTAAAGAAAACCCTCCCATTCACCCACCTCATAATGTAGCTATCATCCATTTTTTAAAAGTATTGATATATTTAATACGTTCCAACTAAGCAAGTATTCCATATGTATTAATCAGAAAAATAATTAAGAAATACCCGATAAAAGAAAAAAATCCACTCACAATAAAGTCTTGAATAGAGCTAGACACACAGCATTATTCATTCATATTATCATATATGTGAACACCACTTTTCCAGGCTTTTATCACATCTTGAAGTTTATGAGTTAATACATAAAAAGAGGGTTCCTGATTTTATGACAGCGGGTGGAATTTACAAAAGTGACAAAATCTGGGTGATGGTGATTTAACACTATCTCTGAAATGTTACATATAGCACTATGGTTCATTGGCTCAAGCAGGGTGGGTGGGATTCAAATATGGAACCCCAAAATGGTGCAGCTTGGCAAAAGCTACATCACGTGATGGCTCGGATTGTTTGATAAATGTCACATAGGGTGTGTAGAATTTCAGGGCCCAAGAAAAAAGTAGAGGATGAATTAGAAAGCTGATAACATATGAGAGAGAGGTAAGGCTCGGCTGAAACTGCACACATAGCGGTGAGCAGAGCAGAGGAGCTCCCCGCAGCAAGTACCTTTTTCATTAACAACAGGCAATGCTGAGACCCTGCGGTCCACAAAAATCTCCAAGGCTGTGTAGACAGGGGCTGACTCCAGGACCATGGCAACGTCACGGAAGGTGCCGATGCCCAGTTCCAGGATGGTTTTCTGCAGGAATCGTGGCTTTGGAAGCATGGCTCCCTGTAGTGAGAGAAGAGGAGGTTATTTTTTTCAGTGCATTATTGGTGATGTTCCCCCTGCCCCACAATGGAAATGAATGATGTGCATTCACACAATAATGTAATTAATTGCATTATTAAATTTGGCCACAGTGAACAGTGAGCTAGATAACATTTTTTGCAGAAGCTGAACTGCAGCAGAATAGAAATAAAGTGGTACCTCGGGTTAAGTACTTAATTCATTCTGGAGGTCTGTACTTAACCTGAAACTGTTCTTAGCCTGAAGCACCATTTTAGCTAATGGGGCCTCCTGCTGCCGCCACGCCACCGGAGCACGATTTCTGTTCTCATCCTGAAGCAAAGTTCTTAACCTGAAGCACTATTTCTGGGTTAGCGGAGTCTGTAACCTGAAGCGTATGTAACCCGAGGTACCACTGCAGACAATGAATATGGGACAAAAAATAAAATAATACCTTTTTACATCCCTAGTGGAGCCTAACCTCTTGCTCTCCCAACTTCTACTGTTTTCCCAATTGTCTATTTTAGATCGTGAGCATCTTGAGGGAAGTGGCCAGTCCATTTTCCCCTATGCAGCTCTGCAAGGCACCACATACCCTGTTGGCTCTATACCAATAAATAAATGATAAAAGAGAGCATCGGTGACTGGGCCAACATAGGCCCCACTGAGACCAAAAATAATCTGCCTTGCCATCATCTATGCCAAGAGGAATTTGGGACCACCAGACACTCACGAAGATATGCAGGAACTTGAGGATACGTTTGTGGGTCAGAATGTGTAGGACGTTCCCTGAGATGGGCTCGATAACAGGCAGCCGATGGATCTTGTGCTTAATCAAGGAATAAACAGCATCAAATAGGCTAGGAAAGGGAGAAACAAAAGGGCAATATGACATGCCTGGAGATTGGCTCCCTGTACCCAGGGACTGTACCCATTTACTGCTTCCACTCTGGGCATCATGCAGCACAGCTGCTCTAAATGGAGTAGGCATTGTGAGACAGTGAAGGTTCCCCCACCCCTATTATGGATAAAGGCTCTGTGCATTCAGCTGTTCGACAGGCAGAAATCAACAAGTGAAGTGTTTTCTGGCAAGGAACTGATGAGTAAAACTTCACTCTTTTATACCAACTGCCATGCAGTTGTTAAAAGTACAAGACTCTTTCAATCAAAGCTAGCCACACTATTATTATGTATTCATTAAAATTCTTTCCCACCTTTCCTGCCAAAGAGGAGGGATCTGTGGGAGGGGTAAGCAAGCATCAGGAATGACTTACCTATCATTTGGGGAGATGCACACCAAGGGTTTGAAGAAACCTTGCAAATACACCTCTGGGGAGAAAGGAAAGCACCTGAATAGTATATGGAACCGTTGCCCTAGGTAAGATGGGAGAACTACTACAGGTTAAGGATGAAGCTACTTCTGTGGGAGGAGGGGAATCTGGCAAAAGAGGTCAGTTGGGTTTCCAATCTATTTAGAAGGATGATGAGTTTCTGAGATTTTGGCATACCAGAGCTTGAGGTCACTATACCATATGGTTAATCGCTGCCAAGTTGAAGATGATTTACCATAACATCAACTTTCTTCCCATGTTATGTGCACTGAAAGCATCTCAGAAATTGGGGCAGTGATTCAATGTATAATACTTTTTTAAAAATAATTTTATTATTAATACCCTGCCCATCTGGATGGGTTTCCCCACTATGAAGAGAGAAAGGGTACTATAGCTGTTGTACTGAATCAGACCAATGGTCCATTTAGCCTAGCACTGCCTGCGTCCTGATTGGCAGCCACCCTCCAGGGTTTTAGCTAGGGGGCATTTCCCTACCCAAACAGGAGATGCCAGGGACTGAATCTCAGATCATTTGCAAGCAGAGCATGTGCTCCACCACTGAACATGCAAGCAGTGAGCAGATGGAGGAGGATCCTCCCTGAGCCTTGCACCTTCCCTGTGAGTCAGGGGCAGCCCACATGGTGCCCTCCACATGTTGGATTTCACTTGCCACCATCCTTGACCATTGGGCCATGCTGGCTAAGGATGAAAAGAGTTGGATCAACATCTGGAAGGTACCGCATTAGCTACCCCTCTTCTGGGTGGTTGTGTGGATCAAGCTCAAAGGGGGAGAGTAAGTAGAAACACCAGGGACAGGATCCAATGAGCTCACAGCAATGGGCTACAGCACATGGAATTTCATCAGAATGCAGCAAAATATCCTGTAGTGCAAGGAGGGTGAACCTGTGAACCTCCAGATTGTTACTGGTCATCCTGGCAAGGGCTGATGGAGTCCATCAAAACCAGAAGTCACTGGTTTCCGATCCCTAGAGTACTGTAACCTAAACCCTTTGCCTAGGGGCTGGGGTGGCCAATGTGCCCCAACTCCCATCAGCCCTAGCCAGCATGGCCAATGGGAGGGAATTATGGGAGCTGTTGTCCTTTAGTTGTTGTTGGACTACATGCTGGCCGCGCCTTGTCTAGAGGCAAGACTATCAAGTAGGAAGGGATACCAAGTTAAGAGAGGAACTGTTTAAATCAAGGCCAGAAGCAGGGAGACAGACGTAAACACGTGAACACACACAGAGTGCAATTCACCTTCCACTACTGACAATCAATTTTAAAGATGTTCAATAGCATCCATGCATACACTACTCCCCCTAGTGGTGCCCTCCTCACCTCTCCACGTTTCAATTTTGTGTTCCTCGATCTCATATATCTGAACCTAAAAACAGCACAAAATGATACTCGTGAGCAGGGTGATGTCACCCACAAAAGGATAAGATAGTGAGAGTTCCAAGTAGCCCACACTTGTACTTTGAAGTCACAGGTCCTCTTGCTTTGCTGTCACCCTTCTGCCCCTGTCCACCCCCCTCCATCCTTGTACATATTGGGAGGGAGATGCTGGAAGTTGGTTTGCTCCAGATCTTGCAAAGGCAATTGAGCAGTCCTGGAAAACTCACCAGAGGTGATCGGTAGTAGCGATGTAGGATGTTAATGAAGTCAGTGATAGTCAACATACCTGCAGTAAGAGAGAGAGGGGGAAAGAGGAAAAGGAAGAGAGTGGATACACACAGGTGCAGGTCTGGAGGAGCTGAAGCAACAGGCATGAAGGGCTACCTTGTGCAAGCCCCAGTTCTCAGGACAGCAGATGGTTGAGCCTTTCCTTAATAAGGCACCTGCAAAATTCCTGCACACACCCAACCTTGGCTTCTTGACCATCCCTCGTACAGTTTGAATGGCCAGCAGTAGTCCTATGAAATCCCAGTTCACACTTCCTTTTGCCCAAAACCTGCTGTCCTGTGTTGCCCTCCTGAACGCAGCATCACTTACCCACAAAACACTGCTGCTTGTTGTCCCAGAGAGGGGCTGCTCGCACCCCATTGGCCACCATGGCTAAGAAGGCCTTCTTTATCTGGGGACAGGAGGAAAAAAGAATAGGTGGGCCAGACTGGCAGTTGCTGTTCAATATTCCTGTCTATCTGCAGTTAGGAGTAGTCAATGTGGTGCCCTTCAGGTCTTGCTGGGCTTCAGCCCCCATCATCCTTACCATTGGTCTGAGGCTGATGGGAATTGTACTACAACATCTGGAAGGCACCACATTGGTCAGGCCAGATCTACAGGGTGAGGAAACAGCTGCATCCAGCTAAGAAGGCTGGGCAGGGGAAAATCCAGAAGTAATCGCCCACACCGCACCCGCTTGGACTCCAACTCTGTGTAGCAATTATATTCTTCTGCTAGACTAGATATCATTAAACATCGTGGTTCAATTTTAGGGAGCAACAACCTTAGGCCTATTTTTTACCAAATGATGCGGCTTGGACTGTCTTCCTAGTTTGCTCTCTTCCCACGATTCTACCTCCTCCTAAATCACAGCTCTAGGAATGCGATGAACTACAACAAATATGAGGGAAGGTAAACTTGCAGCAGCAGGAATAACCTGATGAAACAGGTAGAATTGCTGCATCCTGAAAGTGAGCATCTCTTTGTTTAATCCTTGCAGACGGATTTGAGTTCCTATATCCAGCTCTGCCAGTGTCGTAAGATGAGTCCAAAGGCCCACCTAGTCCAGAATCCTGTTCTCACAGTAGCCATTCAGATGCATATTCAAGACCAACAGCACTCTCTCCACTTGTATTCCAAAATAGCTTGTATTCAGAGGCCTACTGCCTCCTAAAATGGAGGGAGAACACAGTCACTGCAGATAGTAACCATTGATAGCTTTGTGCTCTATTAATTTCTACAGCTTCCCACAACACACACACTGCCTGCCATAGCAGAAAGTCAAGTACCTGACAGATTAGGAAGTTGAAAACTGCTGAGTGTAGTGTAGTTATATGGGGGGGGGGGAGGGCAGACACGTACTAAAAGGGTAGGAAAACCCCCACAAACTTCAGTGTAGAATCCCTGTCAGGGGAGGTCACACTGCCAGGGGTGCAAGTGCTGTCTGAAGTTACTCCTGTCTGCGCTGGCATGCAAGATATTTTATTCTGCCTTCCCTACTCCTTGGGAGGAATTCAATGTGACTCTATGGCAACTGGTCCATCAGCTTTTCAGCTTCCCCTGAGCCAATTTCAGATAACATGTGGGAGGACATGTTGCACTAGTGTTAAGTCCTCACGTTGGCTTCCACTAGCAGGACTAGTTAAAGGAATTCTGCCCCTTTATGTTTTTTCTTGTGTGAACAGCGTTATTCATCCTTCTGTACACCAATCTGGAATCGTATGATGAACAGTTCAGACACATTATAAATTTGAAAAACCAGAAGCGTTCCTCAAGTATAATTGTTTACTTTTCCCATAGAAGTGAAAAGCAAGCATTCACTTACATAAGGAAAGAAAAGGGATACCATCAGGTTAGAACTATGCTGCTTCCAATTATTCCCAACCCTCAGTTATCTGAGCCACTCACATTCAAGCCTTTTGCACACTCCCATCAGCATCATTCCACCCTGTATTCTATTTTGAGAACTAGCTTTTCTTGAGTGCTGATAACAATTTTACTAGGAACATTGAGAGGGAGGGAGCAGAGCTGTTGACTTGTGCCTATTGGACTACTGTCCTGTCTTTGCTGAATGCTTCAGGATTTGTAACAGGGATCGGGACTCCAACTCATATCAGTCCCAACAGTATCTGGATTGCCACAGGTTCCCCACCCCGATTAGTAAAGAAGTGAGCTTCCATTATCCCATTATTAAAATGACCAGTTTTCTACCCCCTTCCTTGACCCACAACAGCTCCCACTTCCCCTCTTACCTGCAAGGTTGTGTCAAACACTACCAGTTTGGAGCTGGTGGGAATGGCATCATAACAGTGGTGGCGCCGCATGAAATGCATGTAAGTCTCAGCATCTGGTCCCAGCAAATCAGTATCAGGACCAAACCCAAGAATTTCACAGTCGAGAGAAATGATGTCACCGTCATCATCTTTGTTGCTCTCTTCTGGCTTGGTGACTTCTGATGTTGCTTTGCCATCCACAACTGTGCCTTTGCTTTGCTGACCGGCATCTTTAACATTCAGGGTGGGGGCACTGGCGTTCCAGCTCTTGCACCTGCCTCTTGGCATCACGTCCTCCTTGCCCCCTGGACCTGTTTGTCTCCTATCTGTCACTGTGGCCTGTGGTCCACCGTAGTTGTCAGCTGTATCCAGTTCTCTGGCCTCTGAATCTGCAGCCTTAATATCCGATTCTGTAGCAACGGCATCCCCAGCTGTTACTTTGCCATCCCGATTTGCAGTCTTGGCATCCAGCCCAACAGCTCTGGGATCCCCGTCCATGGTCCTGCCATCTGACATCACATTCATCATGCTCAACTCTGTACCTTTGCCATCTGCAGCCAGGTCCTTGGCCTCTTGCCCTACAACCTTGGCTTCCAACGCTGATTCCTTAACATCCAGAGACAGGTTGGGGCCTAGTGGGTAAGGGGAGGCATTGCAAATCCAGACACCAAAAACTTCTTGGTAGGTGAAACATTTAAGTAATCTTGGCCCTTTTGACTGACACAACCTTCCCTCCTTCTCACTAAGCCTAAAGAAATGGTATGTTCTCACATAAACTGCAGGAACACGCATGCTGAGCTGAACAACCAGTGACTTGCACAGAGAACCAGCCAAAAGCTGCAGCAGTCACTGACCAACCCCACCCCACCCTGCCCCACAGAGCACATCCAGTTAGTTGATTGTTTACATCCCTTGACAGGCAGCAACCCACACACTTCAGCCTAAGGTGAAAGCATTCGTTGATTTCAGTCAGAGCCCAAACTCTCTTCTGCAAATTTTACAGTAGAGGGGAAAGTGTAAAAGGGGCTAACTACTTGCTCTGAAAAAGCATAACCGGTCAGGAGGGGGCTGTATACTGTATTTATTCACACATTTCTGTGGCAGTTGAATAGCTTCATTATCTTTATTGAGTGCCCTCACAACAACCCTGTGAGGTAGGTCACCATTATTCCCATCTGACAGATAGAAAATGGAGGATGGACAATACTGGGCTTATCCAAGGAATCTAAGTATAAGCCCAGATTTTGAAATCAGGCCTCACATAATTCAATTTTGTAAGATGACATTAGGATGGGTTTCACAGGTACTAGCAGAACTGGAGCCATTCTCAAACAGGAAAGCAAAAAGTGAAATCTGGGTACAACTGAGATTTTCCAAGACTAGAATGATAGGGGAGGCAGTGGTTCGGATGGCTCGCAGCATGGCTCAAAAAGTGATGTATAATGTCCCAAAGTTAGTACACACAATCATGCTCCTATGGATTAGCAAGTTTAGAAGACACTCAAAGCAGGCAATTAACACCCAAAACTGTTCCCTGCAACACATGTCATGAGTCAGTCTGGCTGGCAGGCAGTGAAGTCTGTACTTGAAAGCGGTCACTCCACCACTGGCAGGCAAGACCAGTGCACTACCCACCTGCTTCCTGAGGCTGGAGGCCATTGCTCAGTGGTGCTGCCTGGGAGTTAAGGAAAAATGGAGAGAGTTAAAAAGTGGCCTCTGTGGTCCACATTCAATGTGCAAATTATTTCAGCTTTTAGGATCTGAAGAGTGAGAGCTACAATTCTGCAGTGGACAGGGAACCTCAGACTCCACCCTAGGCCCTCAATCCCCAAAGTGCTACAAATCTAGTTCAAACCGAATGCTGGAGGGATCAAAAAACTTAGTGCTTCACATATTTTCTGCAGGCAGGGGCCACTTCCTTCATCCTCACGTGGCTGCTGTTTATTTCCTTCCTATTGCTACAGCTTTTCAAGTTGCAGACAGAGTTGTTTGCAGGGAATGTTAAGCATGTTGTGGGAAAGCAGATGTTTAAATCTTGGGTAGGATAACCGTATGTCCTTCTTTTTACATCATGGGAAAGAGGATGGCTTAACCAGCTAATACCACAAGGGAATTAAGAAACAGTGACATAGTGGGAGAGGAGACCTCTAGCTCTAACAATCCCCAATAATCATACCTATGGCTTCTCCAGTTAGTACCCAAAGCTAGCATCTGTAAGGACACTGCAGTAAAGGGTCTATTGTTAATGTGGAAGGGGAAGACACAGATGATCCAATAAAGCTGATTCAGGCTGCACCCAGTCAGAGGCTGTGCATGACAGACAACATACTCAACCACAATGCATGCGTACTCAGACACAAGAGGAAACATGCGCAAGAGCAGAGTGCAATCAGACACAGACACATGCTGAGACATGGAACAAACTCCAGGCAGAGATTTAGTTGCCCACAATTTTCCTACCGCAACTGACAGAAAGCAGAAACATGCCAGCTGACAAATATAACCCGTAATTTATTTAATTAATTAATTTAATGTGCCAGTTGCTTTATCTTGCCCAGGGCAACCCAAAGCAACTTACAGCTAAATAAACAAACTAGACAATAAACCCCACACAGATACATTAAAACCAAGGGGGAAGAGAAATACATTAAGAACATTCCACCCACTTCTAAAAGGCCGCAGATAAATTAAGGACCAAAGACCTGGTTTTGGAGGAAAGTTTTAATAATATTAAAAAAGGCACTTGCAAGACAGCAAAAGAGCCATATAGGAATGAGATTCAGCTGCCAACTTTCTCTCACCTTTCTCTCACCAAATAGTGGCTGCACTATTTGCTTGATCGATTGATCAATTAAATGCGTTGATTAAAAAGGTGTCCTCAGTTCAGCAGATTTTTAAACAAATAGCAACGAAATGCATGTTTTCTGATATAGAGGGAGCCAGTTATGACGACACGTGCATGCATTCTCTAAAAACAAAACGCGCGTGCTTTTCTCCCTTTGTCTTCAGAGCTTTTGTTTTTGTTCACCCGAACACTTGCGCGGATCGCATTAATGCATAAGAATTATTTAAATCGGCAGCAGACGAGTCGGAGCACCGAGTTCAATTTCTAAACGCGAAATTGTTACGGGCCAAGCACGCCTAGGAATCGCACCCGAAGGTGTGGGAGAGAAAAGGCAGAGGGGCAGGCAGCGCTCTGCACGTGCTCGAAAGCTCCGTTCTTGACACTCCAGGGTGTCCAATGAGCTTGGGGAGCAGGTTCCGGGGCTCAGGTAAGCCCCGCTAGCCCCACTCCCCCGGCAACCGAAAGCAGGAAGTGGTCGCGGCGTTGTTGCGCCAGGAAGTGCCTTCCGTCCGTGCTCCCCGGGCCGGCCTGGCCAGCAGAAAGGCACCCGCCGCGAAGCCCTTTCTCGGGGAGGTCTCTCCGCCGGGCTTACCTGCTCCGAGGCCGGTGCCGCCGCCCGCTCCATGCCGAGGCAGCTGCTATTTTCGGGCGCCTGGCCGGGGAGCCAGTCCGTGTCAGGAAGGCGGCGGGCCTGGCAGCAACCCCCGGGTGCGCGCGGCGCCAGGAGGGGCCACCGCCTGCCGCGCTGTGCGAAGAAGGGCCTTCCCGCCGCCTCCCGGGGGACTCAGGGCAGCGCGCGGCCGCCTCCCGAGACGGTGGAGGAGGAGCAGGGCATGCCGAGAGCGGGGCGCCGAGGGGTGCTGGGGCGAGGGATGCGGCGAGGAAAGCGGGCTCCGCGGCCTCTCGCTCAGGAAGCTTCGGGCGAAGCCTCCTGTTTGCCCTGGAGGGCGGGGTGGGGTGGGGGGAGAGAGCGCGACTCGGCTCCGGCTGTAAATAAATCACGGAATGTGCGAAGGGAGGAAGTCGGGGCACAGAAGCCTGTGCGCGGTGGGACACGGTCTCGCGGTGGGGCGAGGAGAGGAGATGATGGAGGCTATGGGGGGGGCAGCCCCTCCTGGGAGGAAGAAGCAATGGGGTGATCGGCCGAGGCCAAGAGGAGCTGTTCTAGAGGTACAGTCCCTGGTGCAATGGGGACACTATAATCTGGCTCCTCACGGCAAAGACTGTTCCCGCTTGCAGCGGGCTTCTTTCTTTCAGAAGGCCTCTATGCCTTGAAAAGCTGAGAGGTAGGCAGACATTCAACTGGCGAAGTCACTCCCACCCGCAAGGAGTGCTGATTGGAAAGCAATGCAACTTCCATCTGTTGCATTAAAAAAAACAAAAAAACCTATTGTGGTATCCAGGATATAAGATAAAAATTGTAATTTTAATGGATGAATCCTCCTGCCTTTTCCCCACCAGTCCCTCATATCCTTTTACCCACAAACTCATCCCCTTCCTATGTTCCAGCAGCAACATAATATCCCTAGTGTTCTTTTTAAAAATGCTAGTAAAGTTTGTCTTTACAAAAGCATCTGGAGAAAAGGAGTTCGTGCATTTCCAAAAGGGTTTGGGCCATGATAACACTTTTAAAATAGGCCACTTGTTCCTGGATGTTCACCTAGCCAACTCATTTATCTGAAGCAGTGTACTGTAGTTGCTTTGCAACCCTCATGAATCTCTGTGGAGCAAAGCAGCCTGTGATTCAGTAGTGCTTGATAGGTATGTTACCTGAAATGGCAGGAGAAAATGTGCAAGTGTGCACACAATTACAACTTCAGTTGGAATCGTAGAAAATGCTAGTCTAGAGTTACAAGATAACTCCATTACAAGATAATTCTAGACCATGTGTTGACTTGTTCCATTATTGCCTTTCAGTTGTTAAAAGCACAGGACTGCAGATTATAGTTCCCCCAATACTAGATGGATGCTGTAATTAATTGTCAGTGAGTGAGGAAGCTTCCTAAATAAAATGGGATATTCTTTTGCTCAGGGCTGTCCTCAGATAAACACAGGAAGCCAATAATGTAAAATATATATACAGATCTGACACCTGCACACTGGCAACAGCACAGGCTGAGTTTCATTGATCAGTATTGTCCATTTTGAATTATTGGGAGTAACTCTGTTTCCTATACTGCAGGTCTGGGATGTGTGTGTGTATCTTGACTGCACCATCCTACCACTTCACAAGCTGTCAGGCTCTACCATAATAAGGTCAGCATTATCTGCTGCAAGGGACAGCCACCAGTAAATAGTGCCAGTAGTCAGGAATGATGGGGGTTGTAAGTCCAGAACATTGGCTACCCCCACAGCACGTAAAGCAAGACATAACATAGGAAGCCTGGGAAAGGAAGGGAGAGAACAGTGAAATGTGACATCATCACATTCATTTAAAACACATTTTTTCTGTGCGCACAATGTTTATCATACCTTGATTAAAATTTAGCAAGACCAGTAGAGATAAGACTGTTTGGCTAGAAGCCAGATGTGACCCATGGGCTGCAAATTGACCTTCCCTGGGATTAGCTGCAGGGATTGGAAGCACTAAAATGGACCATACACAATCTACGCAATTAAAAGTCCTTACAACTTGTATGTGGACTAGCATACAGCTTGGTTGCCCAATAAAGGCAGCATGAAACAGCTTATTAGTTTATAGAGCAGCATGAAGATAGATGTTCATAGTAACATAACTAGAGCCTGGCTGGATTAGGCCAAGAGTCCATCTAGTCAAGCATCCTGTGTTGTTGTTTACAGTAGCCAGCCTCAAGCCTCTCTGGAAAGGTACAAGCACTAGAGGAGTGCCAATAGCACTTTCCTCCTGTGTGGCCCCTAGCAATTGGCTTTCAGAAGCATTAGTACAATACACATATCTATCCTCCATGAATTTATCTAGTCCCCCTTTAAAACAATTTAAACTTACTTGAGTGGGAGAACAATTTCTGGCTTGAATCGTAGAGTGGAAGGGCGCTCAAGGGTCACCTAGTCCAACCCCCTGCAATGCAGGAATCTTTTGCCCAACATGGGGCTCAAAACTCACGGCCCAGGTTTCCCCTCCTGCACTCTGATAAGAACATAGGAAGCTGCTTACACCAAGTCAGACCATTGGTTCATGTAGCTCAGCATTTGACAGTGGCTTTCCAGGATTTCCCAACCCTCAGTAAAACTACTGGTGTTTTGTTTTGAATTTGGCAGTTCCTTGTTGCTCCCAATCATTTTGCCTACTTTTTGTTTGCAGTTTGCCCCTTTGGATTCATGGAAGAAAAAGCCGGATAATATACATTTTTAAAAACAGTAAAAATAAGGAGAACTTGGTCTTGGCCAGTGCCAGTTCCCCCTTCTGGGCAATACCCTGAAGCAGGTTGTTCTCCCCTGTTGCTTGTGGCTAGCTATGACCAGGCACCCCTTTTATCTTTACATGCAGTTCTGGTCCTGCCTCAGAGCCTTGATCTTGATGCAAGTGCTTGCTGTCTTCACCTCCCCATCTACACATACTAAACATAACCCAGTTGGGATTGGCCTCTCCTCCCCACTGTGGAGAATTCCTGGAGAATGAGTCAGGCTCCTAAAAAGAGAATGGTTGCTGTCCCCTCCCCTCTCAGTTTATCTCCACTACTTGTAGCCTGAACTCAGCGACACAGGCCTTATTGGCTCTTGGCAAGAAAGGAAGTGGTTACAGGTGCCCACTGCCAGCAGGAAGCCAGCTGTGGCAGTGTCTCTGGTTGGTCAAAAGTCCCAACACTTCAGGGGATAGGTAACCCGTTCCTATCAAGATGATTTTCTCAACCTAGCAGGGGGAACGTTTGCTCCAAAAGGGAATATATAAACATAAAAGTTAAAAACCTTACACTTCGCAGAGCAAGCAAAGTAGTGTGGAGGTGCCTGCATTTCCTTTGCAGCCGAATAGCAGCTGTGTGTGCTCTAGCAAAAAATGTAAACTAACAGTAGGGTAATACCTTTACTGTGACCAAGAAAAGATGCAGCAAAATGCAATATCCAGTTTAAAAGGGGTAAATTTGCGCTTTGTGGAAAAATAACACCAGACAGGGTGTTGAGCAGCCTTTTCCTCATTATAAAATGTAACTTTAAAAAAAAAGCATTGGAAACTTTTTGGGGTAAAGGAAAATAAAAACCGGTTAGAAAAATGTCTTCTTTTTACATCATGGGAAAGAGGATGGCTAACCAGCTAACCACAAGGGAATTAAGAAACAGTGACATAGTGGGAAGGGAGCCTCTAGCTCTAACAATCCCCATAATCTATACCTATGCTTCTCCAGTTAGTACCCAAGCTAGCATCTGTAAGGACACTGCAGTAAAGGTCTATTGTTAATGTGGAAGGGAAGACACAGATGATCAATAAAGCTGATTCAGGCTGCACCCAGTCAGAGGCTGTGCATGACAGACAACATACTCAACCACAATGCATGCGTACTCAGACACAAGAGGAAACATGCGCAAGAGCAGAGTGCAATCAGACACAGACACATGCTGAGACATGGAACAAACTCCAGGCAGAGATTTAGTTGCCCACAATTTCCTACCGCAACTGACAGAAAGCAAACATGCCAGCTGACAATATAACCCGTAATTTATTTATTAATTAATTTAAATGTGCCAGTTGCTTTATCTTGCCCAGGGCAACCCAAAGCAACTTACAGCTAATAAACAAACTAGACAATAAACCCCACACAGATACATTAAAACCAAGGGGGAAGAGAAATACATAAGAACATTCCACCCACTTCTAAAGCCGCAGATAATTAAGGACCAAAGACCTGGTTTTGGAGGAAAGTTTTAATAATATTAAAAAAGGCACTTGCAAGACAGCAAAAGAAGAGCCATATAGGAATGAGATTCAGCTGCCAACTTTCTCCCTTTCTCTCACACAATAGTCGGCTGCACTATTTGCTGATCGATTGATCAATTAAATGCGTTGATTAAAAAAGGTGTCCTCAGTTCAGCAAGATTTTTAAACAAAATAGCAACGAAATGCATGTTTTCTGATATAGAGGGAGCCAGTTATGACGACACGTGCATGCATTCTCTAAAAACAAAACGCGCGTGCTTTTCTCCCTTTGTCTTCAGAGCTTTTGTTTTGTTCACCCGAACACTTGCGCGATCGCATTAATGCATAAGAATTATTTAAATCGGCAGCAGGACGAGTCGGGCACCGAGTTCAATTTTCAAACAGCGAAATTGTATACGGGCCAAGCACGCCTAGAATCGCACCCGAAGGTGTGGGAGAGAAAAGGCAGAGGGGCAGGCAGCGCTCTGCACGTGCTCGAAAGCTCCGTTCTTGACACTCCAGGTGTCCAATGAGCTTGGGGAGCAGGTTCCGGGGCTCAGGTAAGCCCCGCTAGCCCCACTCCCCCGGCAACCGAAAGCAGGAAGTGGTCGCGGCGTTGTGCGCCAGGAAGTGCCTTCCGTCGTGCTCCCCGGGCCGGCCTGGCCAGCAGAAAGGCACCCGCCGCGAAGCCCTTTCTCGGGGAGGTCTCTCCGCCGGCTTACCTGCTCCGAGGCCGGTGCCGCGCCCGCTC